AAGGCAAAAATTGAGGGTGACCTACCCCAAGCTATACAGACAACACTTTATTTACCTGCAAAAACAAAAAAGAACAAAAATGTACATCAATAATACAACTATAGCCAACGTACTCTGTGCTATACTATTGTGATGTGTAGCATCATACAACATATTAGCAATTAATAGATTAAATATCTAGGCTTTGCCTAACGGTGATCTCATTCAATGCCTTCATTTTATAGATGTGGAAATTGAGGCTCAGAGCACAAGGCAAATCAAGGCCCGCGTGGCAGAGCTGGAAACAGGACGCAGTGCTTGTTAGGAGGAAAGCCAAGACTTGCTTCTTTTTTTTTTCTATTCCCTCCACAGATACTAGCTCAATGAATCAGTTATGCAATGATTTTTCTATGAATCAAAATCAGCCTGTGAAATGCCACCTCATTGCGGGGGTTATTGAAAGAGAAAACCACCCTCCACACCTTTTTGAAACAGACCGAAGAGGTATTAGCCTACAGAGAATTTTTTGAGGTTAAAATGAAAAGCTTTCATTCATTTGCAGACCTCTGCTAAATCAGGACTGCAAACCCTTGGGCTTGGAATGTGGTTTTACTATCTGCTTGGGAATGTGGCTCTGCTCTGCGCCTGCCTGAGAGAGGGCAGGTGTGGGGGCGCTTTGCTGGAAAGCGCGTAAGGCCAGAATGCTGACAACAACACGGGTCATCGTATCAGCTCACCATCATTCAGCGTCTCAAACCTCTTTTTCATTAGTTAGAACACACTCTCCTTGCTCATCCTTTTGCAGGGTGGTGGGGAAAACGCTGGCCTAGAAAGCACCAAATTTGAGGCCCTAATCCAGGCTCAGTCATCGCTAATCTGGATGAGGTGGATAAAGCACTCAGGGCCACTGGACCTCCCACCTCTTCATAAACTGAAGATGTTGATTTCAAACCCTGTGGACCTTTCTGGGTCCGGATCCCACCTGAGAATCTGATGAAAGCTCTGCCGCCTTAGCAGACAATGCCCAACCTCGAAGGCATGCACGGTTTTAGATTTAAGGGGATTCCCAGGCCTTCTGAAACCCATGGGATACAGGCTGCCATGTAAGAATCCATAAGTTAAAGTCGCACTTTGCTTCAAAAAAAATTAAACTTGTGCATCCGACAGGGTCAGCAAGAGCCTGAGGAGAGCTGGAGCTACACCCAGGGTAAGGAGGCAGTCGCGTTGTGAATGAACCATGAGGCATCTCAGGAAAGCGGCACAGCTGCTTGCCACTACAAACTAGAATTTAAGAATGAGTCGCTCAGCATCTCCAGAGACCACAAATCACACCCTGATACTGTCAAACGATGACCTCCCAGCAGTGACCTCCGAGGGCCGTTCAATTAAGAATCTGAAATGTTTGAGTCCACGTTAACACCCAGACTTGCAGGCAGCAGCCTAGGAAAGCCTCAAAAATTTCACAGAGAGTAATAAACGCTTTGCAGTGGCTAATGTAAACACTGTGTTATATAACGGTACGACGAATTCTGAAGCACCAGGCAGCCGGCTCTGTGGCCAGTGCTCATGGAGTAGGATTATGTATAACATACTTCCTGCTTCAAGTGCATTTAAAAAAAAAAAATCAAAGGGGATTTTTGCTCACACCTTCCATCTATTATCCTGCCCCACTGCTGAAAAACTGAATGGACATTAGCATTTAAAAAAAAAAAAAAAGAAGAAAAATCAAACCTATTCATGGCAGCTTCAAAATGTAGTCATCCCCTTTGTAGAAGAGGCCCAATTCCAAGATGGTGGACAGAGTATGAAAAATAAAGCCGGGACTTATGTTTTCCCAAATGGATAGGAACCAAACTTTTACTAGTAGCTTGTAACAGGCATTTATGGGCTTGGATTGGTATTTAAACCATCACTTTCAAGTGCAAAATCAAGTCATAAGCCTGGTTGCCAGTTTCTTTTAAATGTTTAATTTGGAGCCTTAGTTATATAATGTGACAGTTCAGATAAAGCAGTAAGATTGGGCTATCTTTAATAACATTTGAAAAAAAAAAAAGTGCCCAGTCTGCCAAGATAGTATAATTATGTCAACCTACACAGTAGCTACCAATACTGCCATGAAAACAATAAGCTAAAGACCCCCTTTCTTCCTTTGCCTAGCTTAAAGTGGTCACACGAAGACAATAAGCAGGCTTGATTATTTTGGTTAAATGACCCCCAAATTCCCCCCCTGCCCCCCCCCAAGTAGTGTCCTATAGAATTCTCTGTCTTCTCTGCTAACTGGAATCTTTACATTTGAGCTGTTATGGCAAAGACTTTTTTCTTGGGCCAACATATAACTAGGAGACAAGAACTCTATATTCTAAGACATCCAAAGGAACTTGACCAATGTGTAGGTTTCACTGAGCCCAGCAGTAAGCGAAGAGACCACAAGAACCATCTGAGGGTAGTTTGTAGAAGCAGCCTTATAAAATCACTTGGGGCTTCCTAGGATATACACAACTATGCTTGCTTAAGAAGCCACCCACGTCACCTCTGGTAAAAAAAGGCAGGAAAACAGAAGCTGCTGTGTCTTAAAGGGATGACCTCTGTCAAGCAGAACAATGATACTGCACTTAAATCCACTTGCAGCCACACAGTAATTGGGGAGGGGCTGATTCACTCTTTGCAATAACTAAACCGGCAGATTCAGGCCACAGAGCAAGTCTGCAAATGACACTGTGAGGTCAGCCCAAAGTGAAATATGTCTTTAAGAATCTGAAAGGAGAAAAAAAGAGCAAGGGCCAGCGTCACCTCTGCTTTTAAACAAAGAAATAACAGCAAGATGTCCCTGTAGAATTTGGCGGTAGAGTCCCTGCACTGAAAAGCATCTCCAGCCTTAGAAAAATATGAAAATGCTGCACTGAAGTTGAGCAAAAGCAGTGAAATCGCTCACTGCTGGGTGATTGTGCATATTTCATCCAAGAGTGGCAGCTCTGTGGAATTCATTCATTTCAAAGGATGACTATCCTATTGTGCAACGTGTAGGTCTTCTGAGAATTCAATCCGGCTCTGAATAGCCTACTGCATTTTGGTTAACCAGGCACAGTGGGTCTGGGTGTCAATAACTTGGAGAAGATGCAAAATACCAAATGCTCAGTACAAGCAGAGAGTAATATTTAAAAGAGTCTTATTTTCCCCTAAGGTATGAAACTGAACAATTGCAAAACTGGCTGCAGACCTCCACAAAACCCATGTTTTACAATGAAATACTCCAGTGCCCTAGCAAATAAATTCCACAAAGCAGCCTGTGGTGAATGGTAAAAGTGTCATACATTATTTGTAGCAAAGCTGTGCTGAGTGCCCATTTCAAAGACAGCAGGGGTCCCCACTACTCAGGACCCCCCCCCCCTTTACATTCCCCCCAGGAAAAAACAACAGTGAGCAAAATCTAAAATTAAGTGACAATGAATTCTTGATCTATGTCCAATTCCTGGGTAGCGGTAGGCTCTACTGCCTTCTCTTTTTTTTGCAAGTGCTCTCACCCTCTTGTCTGGAACCCTGCGGGCGTGCACAAAGACACACAGACACACACAAAACCGGTTACTCTTTAGGGTCAAAGACAAAAAGGAAATTGCAGTGTTCAGTTCTGTATTAACACTGCGTATCCCTGGGGCTCCGAATCGGTCACGCAAAGGTGTGTGTTGGGTTGGCGGGCGAGAGGGGACGAGGGGGGTTACAGCACGGAAGTCTGAGGATGAGAAGAAACCGAGACAAGACAGAAAGACCCAAAGGAGTCACTATTTCCTACACCCCAAGGTGCGCAGGCGGCTTTGATTTCCACCTCCAACCCTCCTTTCAAAGCTCCAGGCACAAGAAAGCTCTTTGTAAACTCCTGCCCCGCGCTGGGCCCCTGGGCTCAGCCAGAGGGGACACCTTTGTGTGTCTCTTTTAAAGGGCACCTTCCGAACAAAGGTTTAACACCTGCACGCAGCTAAGAACAATGGCTGCAAAGGGAACCAAACCATCAGTGCCTTAAAATTACCGGGGGATTCCCTGCTCCATGTTGGAAGGGGAGGGGGCCAGACACCGGGACAAATCCCCTGGGCAGCGAAACCTGGCCTCGCCTCGCGCGGAGGCGCTCCACGAGACTCTGGGAGCACGCGTGTCTGCGGCCCCCGCGCGGTTCCGCCGCCCTCCCCGCCCCCGGCTCTCCCCAAAACGGCCCCGCCACCGCCCGCCCCATTGTCTGCAACGCTCTAAAAACTTCACAACTAGTCGCACATGAACAAAATAAATACATGTATCTACTTAACGAGGCCACGGATGATTACCCCGCGAATCTCCCTCGCCCAGACTCCTGGGCTCCGCGACCTCCCGCACCCTCCACACCGCCGAGGAATCTTTTCACAAGACAAAAAGCAAAACCAAACCCCGGGCTCCTTACCTTGCACACCAGCTCCTCTCCACTGTGCAGATGCACCGCACGGAAAACGTGGTCTCCCTCCAGAGGTTCCAACAATAAGTATTTCCCGATGCAAGAAACGCAATGCGACAAGTTCGGAGTCTCGGGCGGGCTCGGGGAGCCGAGGTTCGGGCTGAAACTCTGGCTGGGCTCCGCGGACCTTATAGACGACAACTCTTCGAAATCCTGGGTTTTGTTCCGCGATCTCCCATAGCGTGCAATTGTGATGGGGGTAGACCTGTGTATGTTCATGAGTGTGGGATCGCACACGACAAACAAAAAAAACCCTCTGGAGGGATGAGTCGCTGGCGAGTGCAGCTGCAGGCGCCTCCGTGCCACGGATTTTAAAAGGGGACGCGAGGGGAAGGGACGGCAAGGGGGCTACGTGGAGAAAGAGTTAGAATCCCCCAAAAGGGCGCCGCCGGGCAACTGGTCTGCTCCGAGCCCGGCTCCCGGGGGTACTCGGTCGGCGGCAGCTCGGGTCCTTTTGTTACCCCAAAGCAGCCAGCGATGTGCACAACCTCCGCACTTTTAGTTTCTCTCTCTCCCTCTCTTCCCGACGTGGATGTAGACGAGGAACCGGATTGCTAAGGTGGGAGCTGCAGCGCCGGGTCCCCCGGAGCGATCCCCACGCAGGCTTCCGACTCGCAGGCGAGGCGGCGGAGCCCTGCTCTGGTTGGCGCAACCTTCGCCGAGCGCACGGCTGCGGCTCGCTCTCCGCGCGTTAGGAACCCAACAAAAAGAAAAAGGAAATCAGCACGGGTCTGCCGGCTCGCGCCGCTCGGCAGACGGAATCCGCGCTGCACCCCCTTTTTTGGTGGAAAGGGTGGGGGGCGTGGAAGGCGGGGGGGTTGCCGGAGAGGGTAGTTACCTACGATTTAACTGTAGATGGCGTCTGAGGCTTTTCCAAGATCGCAAGAGCTCTCCCAAAATTAAACAAACAGACAAAAAAAAAAATAGCAAGAGAGCATTTAACTTGGAGCGGTCAACGCTGCCAACAAAAGATCGCACAAGCTGGGTGCAGAGTTGTGGCGCGGGCCAGGCGCAGGTACCGCGACAAAGCCCGGGGCTCGGCGGGCCGGGCGGAGGTCAGCACAGGCTCATGCTGTCGCCGCTCGCTCGCTCGCTCGCGCTCCGGGTCGTCCTCCGAATAATGGGAGAAGTGCGGGCAGGGACCAGGGCAGATCAGTGGTCTCCGATTTCCCCAGCCCGAGCTTCCGGGGATCCTCCAGGCGCTGGAAGGGGATGCGCCCCCAGCCCTGCTAACCCGCGGCGTTCCTTTCCCGCTGGACAACTGGATCTCGCCTTGGAAGAATGTGCAACCACTCGGTCTCTCCCTACCCTACACCCGATTGCCTGGCCGGGTAGGTTTTTGGAAGAAATTGAGGGCTTTTCTTCTTCTTTTATTTGTTTCTTCCCCCCTCGGAGGTAAGAGGAATGTGTATTTAAAATTGAAGGGGATGGCCGACGGTGCCCGAGGCCAATCCCCGAGCTCAGCACGCCCGCATCTCCCGGCGAGGCGGTATTAATAGTTACTTACGTGGCCGGGGATCTCGGAGCGAGCGGGGCCGGGTGTGCGCGTGTGTGCGCGCGCGCGCCTCGCTCGCGCTCGGTCTCCCCATTCAATGTCACCGACACATTTCCACGGAGCCTCCGCCCCCGCCCCTCCTCGCCCGGGCCCCCCTCATTGAGCCGGGCGCCCGTCAATCAGGCTCGCGGCTGCCAGTCCTCGGGCGGCTCCCCTCGCCCGCCGGCGGCGCGGGCGGCTGCCCCTGCCATTGCAGCTCCGGGCCCGGGGCGCGGGCGCTGGCCTGGCGGCTCGAGGGCTGGGGCCGGACTCTGTAAACAACGTGCAATATCCTTCCGCGGCCCGGGGCTACGGAGTGAGCGCACTGGGTTCGGAACGGGAAGGTGGAAGTGGCGCCGCCACTGCCCCCCGGTCTCCCCCGAGCACGCAGCTCCTGCAGTGCCTAATGTACTTCTTCACACCTAGTTCATCTTCCCGGCGCTTTTTTCCCAGAAAGCCAGGCACCCTCTGAGCATCAGGCTGCTCAGACGTTGCGCGAGCGAGGGTGTGTTGTTATCAGTGGTGCTGCATGGGCTTTCAAACATTAGTTTCATTATCTTTTTCCAACACCCTCCTCCAAATTTAAAAAGAAATTGCTTGCTTGCTTTTAGTTGGTGTCACCCGCCCCACCCCACCCCCAGGGCTCTGAGTAGTTTCCGCAGACCAGCTGAAGTCACCTTTTGACTGACCACATTTAATCACTAACTCTTCCCTTCCCAGGACAGTGCCCAGAGGGCTTTGGTGGCAGAGTGAAGCAAACCTCTGCGCCCACAGGTCACACCAGGGCTCCTGGCTGCCAGCCAGTGCGGGAATGCATGGTCCTCTTCTTTCAGCGCACCCCCACCCCTACACCCACATGGATCACAAACGAAGTCCACATTGAGAGTCATGTAAGGCTGATGTTTCGCGCCCCGCTCCCACCCCCATTTTTTTCTCAACTTCCTCTGGAGGGCCCAGTCCTCTGGTCTGGGCAGAAACACAACAGGAAAGAGGCATGGAACTCCATCCAGGCCTTAATTTAATGTATCCTGGTAAATCAGAATCAATCTGGTTGGGGAACAGACTCTAAATAAATACATACATACATACATACATACATACATACATACATACATACATAAATTAATTAATAACAGCCAGGAACTGGGAGGCGGGGAGTTCAGAAGACTGGGAGCCCTTTCAGCTTTTACATGCATTTATCCATATTTTCCAGCGGGGGAGAAAAAGGGGACCATAAAATGTATTGCCCACAGTAGGACATGTTTGACTAAAAAGGAGAGCTATTTCCAATTATGCCCACTCCTGCATATTTATAATTATGCACAACCAAGTTCCTCTAGTGATAAGGAGTTCCTGGGAAGTTAGCCAGAGAGGACACTACAGCTTGCTGCCACAGGACCAACATTTGAAAAGAAAGTCAAAAAGTGGCCTCATGCCTCCTGGCACAGCTCATCAGCCTATCCTCGCAAATCTGCATAGGACTCAGTCATCTGTTCCCCAAGCTATCACTGTGACTGCTGAGCAGGGACCCTGAATCCCATCGTGTTCCGTAGACACATTATGTGCTCCTGTTTGTCTCAGAAACAGACCTAAGGCAGCCTCTGCTGATGGTTCAGAAGACAGGCCCAGCCCTCTTCTCTACAGTGGCCACCAATGACGCTTTATAAGTAGGGCTGGGAGACCCTTGTTCTAGCCCTACCTGGGTCCCTGAGCTCAAATGAAAATTGAGTCAAGACACTTTTTTTTTTTCCTCCCTGGGTCCCCATTTCTTCAGCTATAAAATAAGAAGCATAACACCAGCCTTGCTCAGCTCTCGTGATTGCTTTAGAATTATATTTTCAATTCCAGGAAATCTATGAAGGCTTACTATAAGCCGAGCCCTGTGCTGGGTGTTAAGGACCCAAGTATGAGTAAGCTTTGATCTCTGCCACCCAGGAGCTCAGAGTGTAGCCCCAGAGGAAAACATGAAAAACATAATCTCATTGTGTAACAATGTGGCAATTAGAATTTCAAGGCATCAAGGGAGCACAGAGGAGAAGTAACTTTTCCTGGCCTTCAGGAAGTTTTCCCAGAAAATGTTATTTTTTTACTTTGAATTAATCCAGAGCAAATATTTTTGAAACCTACTATGTACCAGACACTGGGTATAGAGGTAGAATGATTTAAAAAATATATTTGTCTTTGTGGATCTTGACAAAGTTCTGAGTCATAGAATAACATGAATAAGAGATTGTCGTTGGCATTTCAGGCAGGGAGAAAGAATGTGCAAGAGCAAAGGAGTGGGATGTTCTGAAATTTCTAGTAACTCACCATGGCTCCAGTGTTGGCAGCTTCGGAGCGTTAGTGAAGCATGTGGCTGGCAGAGCAGATTGGGGTTAGAATGGGAAGGGTTGGATAGACCAGCTAGACACCATGGGCATAGTAGCAGAGGAGAAAGTAGGGTCAAGGCTGATGGTTGGATTGGGGTTTAAGAAAGGTCACGCTGGAGGTCACCTAACGTAAATACCAGTGAGTTCCAAAGAAAGAGAGAGCACTGTAGCCTGGAGAGATCACACAAACTATAAACTTACTGTGATGTGAAAGTGATGCTATCCCTGACTGAAGTGTATTTATTACTTCTGATGAAATTATACAGTAGCCACTGAGCTGCCCATTCTCAAAGGTCAAATGTATGACCTTCGGAAGCTATTGCAGTGCAGGATGAATTAGATAATTTACACCAAGTGCCTTAAACATTTTTACGCATATTGACATAACTCTCAGGTTGGGAAAACAAACAAACAAACAAACACGTAGTAGGAAGATCTGGGTGGGAATCTTCATTCATTCACTTTTTAGCGATATGACCTTAGGTGCATTTAGAATATTTTATTTATAAAGTAGAATTAAGGTATTCTGAATTTTACCGAACACATGAAAATTATGGAAAATGTATACAGCAAGAGCACAATGTTTTGTATATTATAAATAAATACCATATTTCCTTATGTATGAGACTCACCCTTTTTCGAAAAATTTGGGATCTAAAAACTGGGTGCGTCTTATACAGTGGTTGTATGAGCGCAAAAGCAGAGTGAAAAAAGCAGGAAATGCAAGTAAAAAAAAAATCTACAACCACTGTATAAGACACACCCAGTTTTTAGATCCCAAATTTTTTGAAAAAGGGTGCGTCTTATACATGGGGAAATATGGTACTTTTTTACCATTATTTTTATTATTGCTATTAATATTGGAATACATCCACAGAAAGCAATCCACCATATACTACTAATAATAATAATTTACAAAATTCTAACAGTATCAATAAAATGTATGGAGTTGTGAAACACAGTGTTGTAAGAATGGTTAACGACAATATGTAACTGATACAATATTATGTGGCAATTAAAACAAAAATTATATAATTACAGGAAACATTTAAACCAGTCCTCTCTATTGGACAGTCAGATGCAGTTGTTTTAGGTCACTGGCCTGCTGTGCATGGTTTCCAGATCATTCTCTATCTCGAAATGTATTTAGCTGCCCCTTCATCTACTGCATTTCTCATTAGTTTATTAATTTAACAAACATAACAATAGGTATCTACTAAGTATAAATCTCTAAGCTAAGCTCTGGGTTTGTTGATCAAAGAAGTGGTTTTTGAGAACAATTTCTAAGACGACTGTTTCACTTCAGGCTGATATGGACCACAAGTGATGACATTCATTCTTTCTTATACACCTCTACAGCAAGCCATACCTAGGCTCAAACATCGGCAACAAACTTCCAGCACAAACGCAGAGAATGTGCCTCATGCTGATATGCAGGCTGTGGACTGCACAGCTCCAGGCTATTTCATTCCCATTGAGGTCTCTGTGCATGGCACCCCCAGACTGGTGCAAAGCGCAATCTTCTTGGCCATACGTGGAACCTTGAGTTTATAGACACATTGAGCTGGAGTTCAGAAACTTCCCAACAACTTCACCTCCCACTCTTCTCAGTTACACACCCAACCAGCTGCTCATCATTTTGTGGACTCCAGTCTCCACCGCTATGCCCACTGAAAGCCCTCCCATAACAGTCATTCTTTTCTCAATTTGTTTTAAACAGTTCGTGGTTTGGAAAGTAGTTGTTTATTGACAAGATGATTCCTAGGAGATCTATTAAAAGACACTTGTTTGTTTGTTTGTTTGTTTGTTTGTTTGTTTGTTTGTTTTACCATGGATACACAGGAGATGTGTTTTCCTTATTTTTTATAAATGGTCCAGTCTACTGGGAGAAGTCCAGGATATAAATACAGAAGAAATTGCCGTGTGGACCCATGTTTTTCCCAGGCGCTTGTTTTGTAGCTTTTTTTCTCATACAGGGAAATAGCTGTTGAGTGCTTACAAGTGAAGTGAACGCAGGAGACATTTTCTTGTTGCCCTTAAATTAGAGGACGGTGGGAACCTCAGCATACAGGAATTTTCTGGGTATTGTAAATTGTCTACCATCCTGTTACGCATTGCTGAGCCGCTAACAGAAAAAAGTAAAAACAGGTAAAATGAACCAGCTCGTCCAGGAAGTGCTGCACATTTACATATTATCTAGAGTGCTCGATTACTGTAAAAATAGGTTCAGTTTGAAGGGTGTTCTGGGAAATCTAGTGTGTGTTTCCATACCTGGCACCCAGACAGACCTCGAGGGAGAAGGCGGACCTCGGTCCAGGTCCTCGGCCCCTCTGTTTCACAAACTTCAGGACTGTAAATGACACTTAACTCCCCTGCCCTTTGTGGAATGGAAATAATAATCCCTTCCTTACAAAGGGAATAGGCGAAATCGAATGATCACTTACATCCCCCTTCAGCGTTTAGGATCCAACTTTCGGTATGGGAAAAGCAGGGTTGTCAGCAGTAGATCCGTTTCTGAACAATAATGCATTGAGTTTCCATCCCATTTGGGTCCCAGCTAGGAACATGGCCTTGGACGGCCCTGGTTGCTCAGATTAAGGTTAATAAGAATTAATATGTGCAGCAGGCTTGCCGATTTACAAAGCACTCGTCTGTATTTGGTCCCATTTAATCCTCACAACAGCTCCATGAAGGACGTTTCATTATTAGCCTCAGTCGGAGAAACACCGTCTCAAGGAAGTTAAATTACACTGGCTCACGGGCACAGAGCATTTCTGAGCACAAATCTGCTCATTTTGTGACCCAGCTCCCCGTGTCCTTGCCTGCTTTGTCCCCTTTCCTCCCGTCTCGCTTTCCTCTCTAATTCCTTCTGTGTGCAAACATCACTGTAAATCTAAACCAATTTGGGGGTCATGCATTGGGGCTCCTTGCATAGAATTTCATTTAAATACAACAATAATAGGTGCAAACCAGAAAAACTTGTGTGAACACAAGTGTGATATCTACAGAATAATAGTTTCCAACTTGAGAGCCCTGGATCCTCAGGTGGGCTTAGAGCTCAGGGCGTGAAACCGAGGGTCCGTATGACTTTGATTAAATTTAGTTTTAAATCCTAGCTCTAAAAATCATATCCCTCTCTATATACCCCTCCAGAGATCTAGCCTTTCCCCCCATAACCAGCACCCCCGAGGCGGCAGAAGACAGTAGCCGGACCTGACTAATGGTCACACGGTGAGCCCTCTGGCGGGACAGAGATAACATCTCACCGAAGTTACGTTCCAGCTCCTGAGCCCTAAGGTGGAGCGGCCCCCTGGCTGCTTTCCCCGTGAGACCGGACAGAGGGACTCCAGAACAGACCTCAGAACTGTCCTCAAGGCCTGCAGAGATGATTCGTTACCCTCACATCACCTCCGACCAATCAGCTCCCAGCGCGACCCCGAGCCCCTAACCCACGGTGTCCTGTGACTTTGCCGCATGGAATCTGTAACCTACATGCCATCAGGGTGTTTGGGCTTTTGAGCACTGGCTTACCTATGTCTCTAAACTTGGCATCATTTCCTTAAATAAACCTTTACTTTCTTTGCTGAGAACCCCTGCTTGTGTCTCCTTTGGCTTTGATGTGGGCAGTGAAAACAAGCCCCTTGAGTTCAGTCACACGTGCGTAGATAGCACAGAAAGGCAGCTGTACATGGGACAAGCTGCTCAGTAGGCTATAGATGGAATAAAAAATATGCGCCACCCATACCCATGCAATTCACTTTCAAATATGCATACATGCACTTGTGGTTAATAAAATACAAAAGTGTAAACAAATAGCTGGTTTCATAACATTGGTTTGTTTTTTGTTTTTTTCACTTAGGCAATTAAAAATATATGTCTAAGTGTAATTGGTATCACTTAGGACAACATGAAATTTTATGTCATTTAAATTGGGTCCCACCCAGTACTCAGAAAGGTTCAGGCTTGTTCTTCACTGGATGGAGAGTTCCTGGCAATTAATCCAGCACTTTAGAAAAACAGTCCTTATGTGTGTGGGTTGGGGAGGGGGGGATGGCGTATAGTCCCGGTTGTGTAAACTGGGGGAAAGGTTCAGGGAATAATGTCATAATGTCCCTTTTTCTAAACAGGAGGCTAGAGCCTCAGACTTCATTCTCTTCATTTGCATCATAAAAGAGCCTGCTAACAAATATGACTTCTATGGGGTTTTGCCACTGGGAAGTAAGCCCTTTTCTAAACAGTACAATTGCTCAGTGATCCCAGGGCTTGATCCCTGACAGATTCAGAAAACTGCTTCTAGAAAAGAGTTAAATATGAAAGTCAACCAATCATCATGCAACAGGTCAAGAAAATGTTTATGGAGCACTAACTCTGAAGTTCAGTGTCTCTGTGACCTTAGGTAATTAAAGATGCTCCCTAAACCTTAGTTTCTGCTTCTTCAAAATGGCATGATATTAGTACAGATCTCACAGAGGTGTGAGGATTCAATAACAGTAGGTGAAGTGCTGAATATCGTGCCTGGAAGGTAGTGAGGGTAGTAGCCCTTACCACTACCACCACCACCAACAACAACACCAACAACAGCAATACCACCACCAACAACAGCAATACCACCACCACCACCACTATTCTTACCACTACCCATATTAATGCCTCCTCCTCCTCCTCCTCCCCTTCTCTTCCCCCTACTCCTCTCGCTGCGTCTTTCTCTCCTCTCTCCCCTCACTGACCCTGTGCCAGGAAGATATGCTAAGGTCCTGCCTCCCTCCCAGCTGCTCTCAGCCTGGTGGCCAGAGGCAGGACCTTGAAGGCACAGGTGCATAAGACAGAGACACTGGTGGGTCCCCCAGCCAGAAATCCAGGAGCCATCAGGAGCTTGCAAAGCCTCACCATCTCAGACTCAGGTGCTGTCACACATTCCTTTTCTCAAAGCTCATTAAAATTCCTCTGGAAACACAGGTAAAACTGGCAAAAGGACACATTTTGAAAATCCTTTTCACTGTTGGTGGGAATGGAGATTGGTACAGCCGCTACGGAAGGCAGTGTGGAGGTTCCTCAAAAAATTAAGAATAGAATTACCATATGACCCAGCAATCCCTCTCCTGGGTATCTACCAAAAAAATCTGAAAACATTTATCCCTAAAGATATATGTGCTCCAATGTTCATTGCAGCTTTATTTACAGTGGCCAAGACATGGAAACAACCAAAGTGTCCTTGGATAGATGATTGGATAAAGAAGGTGTGGTATATATACACAGTGGAATACTATTCTGCCCTAAGGAAAGATGAAACAGTGCCACTTGCAACAACATGGATAGATCACAAGGTTATTATGCTAAGTGAAATAAATCAGACAGAAAAAGTCAAGAACCATATGATTTCACTGATATGTGGTATATAAAACTGAAAACAGCAAAGGAACAAGACAAACAAATGAAGAAACAAAACTCAAAGACACAGATAATAGTTTAGTGGTTACCAGAGGGTAAGGGAGCAGGGTTTGGTAGATGAGGGTAAAAGGGATCAAATATATGGTGATGGGAGGAGAACTGACTCTGGGTGGTGAGCACACAATGTGATATATGGATGATGTATTACAGAATTGTACACCGGAAACCTATGTAACTTTACTAACAATTGTCACTCCAATCAATTTTAATTAAAAAGAAAGAAAGAAAAAAGAAAATCCTTTACTTAGTTCTTCACCATTCCTCCTTTGAGGGCATTCTTCCTAGTTCATCTCAGGAAAAAAACAAACAGGCATTCTTCCTAGTTCATTTCAGGAAAAAAACAAACAAGCAAATAAAAACCTTTTACCCTGACTCCTATAAGAAGCCTTAAAGTCCCCAGATGATAAGAGAGTCAGCCTTCACTGCAGACCACAGTGCGTGCTCTTTGCAGACACAGTCTGCCAGAACCTGGGGTGCGTGTCATGTCAGAGATAGGGATATTCAAAAAGAGTCTTGATGGACTTTCTACTCAGGCTGAAGGATGCTTTCCTGATGAGGTATGTAGGCAGGGCCCAAACTGTTACCGAGAGAGAAGTGCTTACCCCAGGCACAAACTTTAAAGGGGCACCAAAGGTAATTAAGAAAAATCATATTTTCACATAATATTTTTAAAAATAAAAGTGAAAGCAAAAAAAAAAATAGAAAAAACCATGATGAGGAATATATCCGAATTTTCAATAAAGAGTAACTCAGTATTTCTGATGTTTCCTTTTCCCGGAGGCTCCAAATGGCCAGCCCTGCTGCTGGCCATGTCTTTCCCTAGAGGAGGGGAGAAGAGAAAGAAAACAATTTTGTTTTTCTGAATTCAGTTTGTGACAAGCACTTTGCAAACACTGCCTCATCCTCTTCATGGCCGCAGTGAAATACAGGCAAATTCTGCCATTTGCAGCGAGGAAAAACTGAATCTTTACAAGGGTGAGTTGCTCTTGTTGACTAGTACAGGGTAGAGAGAGACTGCAAAACTTCAAAAATTCAAATTCCGATAAGCCTGAGCCCACTGTGTTGGACTTTTTTACACAACAAATCTACTCAATCTACTGTACCACTTGGCTGAGTTCTTGTTTAAAAGACTGTCTCATATTCCTCTTCTTCAGTAGCCACAACAAAATACCCCTGACTAGGTGGCTGACATGATAGAAATTTGTGCTTTCACAGTGTTGGAGCCTGGAGATCAAGGTGTCAATAGGTTTCCTTTCTCCTGAGACCCCTCTCTTTGCCTTGCAGGTGGCCACCTTCTTGCTGTGTCCTCACACGACCTTCTCTCAGTGTGCGCTCACTTGCTGTCTCTTCATCATCTTATAAGGACACAAGTCCTCTTAGATCAGGGCCCTACCCTCATGACCTCATTTAACCTTAATCACCTCCTTAAGGGCCCCATCTCCAAACACAGTCACACTGAGGGTTTGGCTTCAACATATACATTTTGGGGAGGGGGTGGGGTACAACTCATTCCATAAGAGGAGACAGTGCTGTGCTCTGGAGTTTTGTTGCTACAAGCATCCCAGAACACACTCAGACCACATCTCGCCCTCAGGATTTACAATTGAGTTGAGGCACAGAAGATTTATATAGAGTAATCCTGTCATAAAGTCAACTATAGGAACTACAATTATAAAATTAAAGACTGGGATTTGTTTGCCATTTTACCCTTTAGAGTAGTCCTTGGCACAAACTAGGGAAGATATACTCGCATATGCCTAAAATATGTTTAGAAGTTCGAGAGAAGAAAAAAAAATCTTTCCAGCCAGGAAATGAAGAAAGGAGAGCCTTCGAGTTGGCCTTGAAGTCTGAGCAGAATATCAGCAGGTCCAGATAAAAGAGTGTTTCTAAGAGAAGGTGCTGCGCCAGGTCCTGGAGGGATAAGAAACGGCAGTCAGGTAACCTGAGACGGAAGCAGAGACTGAAGGGATGAGAGGTGAGGTTGTTCTCACACCATGGGGGCAGTAAAATGCTAGAACTTCATTCTATTGACCAGATGCTTCCCTGGCCAGTGAAAGATCTTTACTGGCCCAAAAATCTCATGATGTAGTAGAAAGTGCACTAGACTAGATGCTGAGCTAGCTTCATTTTCGTTTTCTTTTATGTACTTTTATTAGTTGTCTAGTGCTGCATAACAAATTACGGTACCCCGGCAAAGCTTCCACTCCAAGGTCACTCACATCGTTATGGGCAGGATTCAGGTCCTTGACTGTTGTTGGACTAAGGGTCTCATTTTCTCTCTGGATGTTGGCTGGAGGCCTCCTTCAGCTCTTAGTCACATGGACCTCGCCATTGGGCAGCTCCCAACATGGCCGCTTGCGTCATTACAGCGAACATGTGAGAAGAGCCAGAGACAGGGGATATGCCAGAGGGAGGTCACGGTCTTTCATAGCTTAATCTTGGAAGTGACATTCCACATCACTTTGCAATACTGTACTCATTAGAAGCAAGCACCAGACCATCCCAAACACAAGAGGAGAGGATTGCACAAGAGCAGGAGTACCACGGGACAGGGATCATGGGAGCCATTTCAGAAGTGGCCTGTCTTGGCATTCTCTAGAGCAGCACATCCAAATCATATTGTGGAAATTATTATGTTTAACAGGATGGGGTGGGAGCTAAGAGCTACTGACTTATGCTGAGAGTTGATGTCTCTCTG